GAAGGGACATGTGGTTCACAGAATAACTTCAGCCGAAATATTTTCTAACAAATATATAATTTCGAGAGTTCTTTAAATTCTTTTTTCAAAAACGATATTATTCTCATAACATCATCCAGTACCATTTGTTTAATGTTTCAATAAAATCTTTGAATACATTGAATTTTGTATACTTATATATTATTCGTCGTATTATATTATGAGTGATTCCAATCCATTAATAAAATTAATGGATAATAAAATTATGTACTTGTAAAAGAATAATTTATTTTCCCTTAGAATGTCAGTGAATACAAGATTTTGGTACGAGATATTCCGTGATCTCAGATAATACAATCGACATCTGAGTTATTAAATAAAATTGTTCAATTTTTAAAAATCATGTTGATCTAGTATCTTCTTTAGATATAACTCTTTTCTTATTTTTTTTATTATTTATATATATATCATAGAATATATATCGAATTAAAAAATAATAACTTTAATAACTAATATAAATAATAATAAAATAACTTTAATAACTAATATAAATAATAATAAAATAACTTTATCTTGCATCATCGATGATAACATTTGATATAGATTGAAACATTTATTATATTATATTATTCTTCTTGAATTTATAAAATAAAAACTAGAATAATACTAAAAAAATTAAAAAAATTTTTTAAATTCATAATTAAGTTAAATTATGAAATTGATAATTATATATAATTATTATTATTATATAATTATTATAATTATATATAATTATTATTATTATATATAATTACATATAAAATAATAATTTATTATGAAATATATAAATATATATATATAATATTAGAAAATACAGATACTATTAAAATATTCTGAATAAATAATCTAAAGCCTAAAAAAAATTGAATTCTTATTCTTTCTGTGATCATCGAATTCCTTTTTCTATATCCATGATTAAATTATGTTCTGATACATGTGCCCATTTTATATATGTCTATTGTTTTCACTGTAATCAAAATTTTTTTAATCTCAAAAATCTCAAGAATCTTAAGAAATTTCGTAAATTTTCTCGTCATTAAATATATGCATCATAGTTTTAATTGAAAAAATAAAAAAATATCAAAGACAAAAAGAAAACTATAATTTCCATTCCTTTTCCTCCTTTTTTTTTTTATTTCTTTTCGTTGCTCTTTTCTTTTACACACTGGCAATCTTAAGATAAAATTATTGCTTTGATTATTGCAATGGAAAAAATTCTTTTCTTTTTATTTTTTTTTACACATAAGAATGAAAAATAAAAAAATTATTTTTATTCTCCTTCTAATTTTTTTGTTACTTTTATCTTTCATTCATAAGTTTCTAATATTTAATGATATTTACATAGATAAATAGGTTAATTAATTATTATATAATTTTTATTCTTGCGTTTGAATTGTTTTTTTTAAGATTACAATATTTATAACTCTCGATTTTTTGAAACTTTTGTTTCTTGTGACGAATATTATACAATGAAATATTATACAATGGAAAAAATTAATATTTATATTTGCAATTACTCTTCTTAATAGATTTCCATCTAAAATAATTATTCGTCGAAGTCATGGCAAATGATTTTTAAATACTCTGTACAATATTTTATTTAAATCCATATTGGATATTATATTTATATTATAAATGGATATTATATTTATTTAACCTATTTAATTATTGAAATTCATTGAAACAAATCAAAATTTTCGTAAGATATCGGATTAGAAAAATTAAATTTAATTTCCTATATAATATTATTTTCTTTAATTACTTTACTCTACATAAAAAATCACTAATTATATTTTAATTAATTCGAATTTATAGATCACAAATCATTAAACGCATCAATGAACAATAAATATTTATCTCTCTCTTGGATTCAATGTTTCTTATTCTGATATAAAATTACAGAATTGAGAAAAGAAATAGATGAAACTAAATTCCATACATTAATAATTCAATATTATGCGATGATATCATATATCTATAAAAAGTGCATATGTATTATACATTGTTCTTTTCAATTATATTCTGAAATATATATCACAAATTATTTTTTTTTATTTTTTTAAATATACTTACAAACAAATGAATCAAAATCAGAATAAAGCAATATTATCTTGCCAATGGAAAAAATTGTTGAGCTATGCCTATGCATTTTTGCATTTAACACACATGAATATAATATTCGATTTCTAACGCTCTCGATCAATATTTAATTGTTAAAAATATTATTTCGCTTAATATTAATATAATAATATGCCATAAGTTCGAAATTTAATAAAATGATACATATACATTTTTAAAATATAGTTTAAAAATTACATCTTCACATAAGAAAAATTACACGATTATAAATGGATATATATGATATTAATGGATATATATATGAATTTTTTAATTTTAGATTCTGTCTTCCAAATATTTTCGTAAATATTCTATAAATATAGAATCGAATAATATATACAACGGATTAAGATTAATTTCTTATGAAAAAATAAGAAAAGAAAAGAAAAGAAAAGAAAAGAAAATCTTTTTGTTCTCAAGAAAATTAAGTTTAAAAATATTTTAAATGCAAATGAAATTAATTAATTTTTAACTGGATACAAATGAATTTTCGAGAAAAAGAATATTCTATATAAAAATAAGTGAAAAATATACAGTCAAATTTTGTTTAAGTTCTTATTTTTTGGAAAATTAAAATTAATATAATATAATCAAAAAGTTGTATAATTAATTTTTATTCATATTTTTAGAAATTAATTTTAAATGAAATAAAATTAATTCTATATTTTTTGTTTATTTTCACATGTAGAGTAACTTGTCATTCATAATTCATTCATATTACATCAGGAATTGATATAATATTTTATTTTATTTTTACTTAATTAATAATTTCATTTGTACTTAAAAAAAAAGTTTTGAAGCCTCAATCTTAGGATTTCTTAACTGAGAAAAATAAATAAATAAAAAATATCCATAATTTAAATTATGAATTTTTCAGAATTAATTTTTATAAATGATTAATTCTATTTAAGAAATTTTCAATCTCAATAAAAAAATCAAATACAAAAGCAAAAAAAATTAAATATAGTTTATAATTGATATAAAATAATTGATATAAAAATATCAATTTAAACAAAATAATTTCATAAGTACATAAAAAAATGATATATAAATTTCAACAAATATTATAATAAGTATTAAAAAATATTGTTCTTAATATTATTATATATTCTTTTTTTCACAGTTTTGAAATTGATCAATACTAATTTTGAAAGATTTATGTTATTGAGAGATTTATATTATAAAATATTAATATTAATTCGTGAAACATCTTAGAAGTTCGATTCTAAACATTAAAATAAACATAAAAATTGCAATAAAAAAATATAAGTTGCAATACAAAAATATAAGTATAAAAATATAAATTTAATAAGTTAATTTAAATTTGTAATTGAAATGAGAAACGAAATAGAATAAACATCATTTAATTTTTTTCTCTTTCTCATTATTTAAAAATTAATTGTTTATAACTCAATTAATAAACTTCAATTAATATTTTTATTTGATTCATAATTTTTTTTTTTTGAAAATTTCAAGAATTTTCAAAAGTATCTATATAATATATCAATATCTTATTATACATATAAATCAATTTTACAATTTTCATAATACTGTCATAATAATAGTAAAATATGACAATAATAAATCATGAAAAAAAATGAAAAATTATGAAGAATATTGTCAATATAATTATGAATTTATTATCATCAAATTTATCAAATATTGACAATATGGACATGATAATGTTTGTAATGATCTTTCTCGAATACATACTATGAATATCATCTGCAACATACTCATTGTATATTTTCATTACTGGCATATTTTATCCATTAAATAATTATTCATTAAATAATTCATTAAATAATTAAATAATAGTAGTCAAAAATCAATTCTAGGGTTTGCTATAATGTTTCTTTAGAAGATAATCTTTGCAAAAATTATGAAAAAAACACGTGTATATTATCAAAATGATATATAGAATTTTCACGTTTTTTAAGGAAGAAATATAAAAAATAGATATTTTAACGATATAAAAAAAAGAATTGAAGAAATTGAAATGCAATAACAGTGATAGAAATAAATGTGTTTCTTTTCTATGCGACAAATTTACTTGTAATGATTGCATTTATATAAATATTTATACAATTTCAATATTCTAATTAAACGATGTATAAAAATAAGCCAACAAAAAATGGTAATTAAAGAATAAAATTAATATTAAAATAATCGTTATAAGTATGAATTTTGTCAAAGTTTTAAACATACTATTTTTTTTTCCAGTAAATATTATAAGACACAAATTCATTCTAAAATATTGAATTAATTATATACTAATTTATTTTGTGAAATAAATTCAAATTAATAAATTCATATAAAATTTGCCGCTATTTGTCTAAAAATTACAATAATATACTATTGAATGTAAATACATTATTTTAAGAACTGAGGAAGAAATAAAAGAAAAATCAATAGAATTTGAAAAACTGGTATATTATAATGTTATAATGATTTCTTTTCTCCTTGTTATTATTACATTTGTTTATATTTGTTTTTAGTTATTATTTAGTCTTCAGTAGTATACTATCAATATATTAAAATTAATTTAATGCTATAAAATAAATATGATACAATTAATTTGATACAAATGTTTAAGAACAATATCAAAATGTTTATTTTCTCTCTAGATTAAAAAATGAATAGAATAAATATTGCAATTATTCTAGATTAATTACAATAATGCCAAAATAATCAACAAATAATATAAATTAATTGACAATTTGAGAAAATATTAATAAAATATTAAATCGAGCAAATTTTAATAAGAAAAGCAAACAAAGTAAGGAACAAATATTAAGACAAAGTATAGAGCAATAGCAATTGTTTATTTCTATACCAATATGTTTAACATGAAACCATTGATTCTATTGTATTGAATATATCATAGTAAAATATGAAAACGATGTATTTAATATCTGAAATACAGCAATTTTTATTAATTTGAATTAAAATGATCATATAATTATTTAAATAAATTACCTTTGAAAATCCTATATAGCATGGAATGAACACGCCTAAGATATGAAACATACATGCTGTTGTGCTACGTATCATGATCAGCAATAAAATTTTTTGTACTTTTAACGGTACAAAATACCATACAGAAATATATCTATCTAACAAATAGTAATATTTTTTTTATTGTTAATGCAATTATCTTCACGAATAATAAATTTAAACTCACAATTCATCAAACAATTCCTGACTATTGTTTATAAGTATTTGATTACTATAATTATATAAAAAGATAATCATCAATTGTATTATTAAAAACACAGAAGAAATAAAAATTTCTAATTGATCCTTCTTAGCAATAATCGCATTTACAAGCTGTAAATATTAAAAAAAAAATAAATAAATATATCAATGAACTGAAGATATCTATTTTTCAATTGGTTATACATTTATCATAATTCGAAAATTTTCTTTCATAATAAATAAAAAAAATTCATGAATGTCATATACAAGACTAGTACATTCATTAAAATGCAATTATCTTCTAATTATGCATTATTAAAAAGAAATATTTCATAAAATGTGTTGTAATTCAAGAAGCGATCTTATGATGATCACTAGATTTGTCTAGGTAGAAGTGTTTTTAAGATCAGAAGGTTTTAAGATCAGAATTTTTGATTCTTTAAATGACTATATAATAAATGTCCTTTTTTAGCCAGAATTTATTTCTAACTACAAATTCATTGATCTACTTTTGCCGGTTTTTGAAAATTATTCGAAATCAATTAAAAATTGCTTAAATTTTGTTGTATATATAGCTAGAAAATTTTTTTCATTACCGAAATAAATCATTAACATGATGAATTATATGATTTTAAGAAAAATCGAATACTTCTGATATAAAAATTCGCTAAATTATATAAAGAATCTATCAAATTATTTGTGATATTTTTAAGAACACAGTTGTCAAAAACAAAATAAATCATTGAATCAATATGCAAAACCTTTTCTAAAAATATATGAGAATAATATTAAAGAGCTTTAAATGGATGAATGATATTGAATGATTTTCAGAAACTATACTTAGTTCAATGTATTCATCTCGAAATTAGCTGCAATTTTCAGTGAATAAAAATATATAATTTTATATAAAAAAATAAGATTACACCGAAATCTCGAAAAAATCTTCACGTAGACAAATTTAGTGGCCACTATGTCTCCTTAAAAACATAACAGATTTCATATAAAATATTTCTTTGAAATGCATAGTTCAGAAGATAATTATGTGGACAAATTAAAATAAGATATCTATATTATGCATATTATGTGAAATTTTTAACATTTGTAAATTCGTTTATTATTATCACGTAATAAAAAAAAGTACTTACTCGATATAGATTTATCGCCATTGAAATCACGCACAAAAGAGAAGATAGCATAAACTGTATTCCCGAATTATTTATTATGATATCGATAAGTCTTCCATTATAACATGAAATTCGAAAATAAAATATTAATATAAACATTTGTGAAATGATATAATGATGTAATCATATTTTAATTTACCAACTTGATAGCTTGATTATGAATATCCACTACGCGATAAAGCTCTGTGAGTTTCGTATCAATTTGTTTCGATGAGAGATTAAATATAGTCAAATACATAACAATTTTTTGTATTCGATAACTAAAAACGTGAAACACTTGTAAATAAACATTATTTAAAAATTTTATAATTCATCAATTAAATTTATTCTGTCCAATGCTATAGTCTACAGATAAAAAAAGTAGTAAGGTATTAATACATTGTTTAAACTTTTTTAATTTTTTTTTAAATGTGATTTAATAAAGTTTTTTTTAAAAAGTTGGGGGAATTAATTTAGATGATAATAAAAAAAATTTGCAAAAATTTTAATTCATTGAAGAAAATATTGAAGAATTTTCTTTTCAATTTTTACTTAAGCATTTAATAAAAATATATCAAATAAAAATTATATTTATTACATTCAATTGAATTATACATTTCAAAAATCCCAAAATCGCAACTATTGATCGATAAAGCTTAAATAGTGACTTCTGATGTTAGTTCAAGCAATTTATTTTTTTATGAAAATTTTCGTATCGACATTTTAAACAAATTATTAATAAAAAATCGTATATTTCTTTAACGAATAACAAGATTGAAATAAAAATTTATGCAAAAAAAAAGTTGTATGAAATAATCTCACAATCGATCTTGATGAAACCGATGTAACCGATATATATATTAATGTGTGTTATCTCATATATAAGTAATAATGTCCTATATAAAGAGTAAGAAAAATATAATTTAAATAATAATTATCATAAATTTATACAATCGCACCTCAATTGTAATATAATGAATATTATAATTCATATTATAATAATTGTAAATATATTTGTTAATTGTTAATTACGTAATGAATATCATGAGAGGAATATGATAAGTTTACTTACCTAATAATTTTAAACAATATACTTGTGTGAAAACTGTAAAGTCCAAATATCGATTCCGTACATGTTATAGATAATGATCCAAATATTCCAGCAAACATAAAATTCAAGCTTAGAATATCAAAATATATGATTCGATTGTAAGAAAATATTGTAACGTAATGAATGATACGTATATGAGATTTGTTTAAAGGCATTATGAAATCTAATGTCATAGGATACAATATAAATATACTAGAAAGTGTAGCAGTTCCATAAATCATCCCTAAAATTTAAAATATTATTTAGATGTTGTTTAAATAAATTTAAATAAAAAAAATCATTCGTAATACAAAAAAAACAATTTTACAAAAAATAAAATAAAAGTAAAGAGATTATACATATTGTATATTATATATTATTATATATAATTATATATATAAGAAGGATATAAATATATAATAAGGATAAAAACTTAAGTATAATATAAATAATAGATATATAATTATTTTGGAATATTTTGGAATAATGGTTGCGATAACAGTAATATTATAATTTANCAAAGAAATTAATATATTTCTTACAGATAAAAATATTGATTATATGACAGGAATCGTTGATATATTTTTTTCGTATTTCTATTTCTGTGGAATCTTGTACTATATTTTCTTCCATACGCATATGATGAAATAAAAGTTTTATCTATATCAAAATAACATATAAAAATATAAAAATATTTTTTCATGAAGATCAATTAAAAATAATTTTAATTTTTACTTACCATAGGAAAAAATACTATGAAGCTTATATATCTTAACAAAATTATAATAAGTGGAAAAGTCGTAGACAATATTAAAATATAGTTTCGTAACATAATTTCAGAACTTAATAGTGACACAAGCTAAAAGTAAATTCTGCTTATGAATCAAATATTACATTTAAATATCTAAATTTTCTTATTAATGATACGATATTTTTGAATAAACTACATTATTTTTAAATATATTATCACTATCATTATTTAATAGATGTTTCAAAATTTGTTACAATTTACTTTAGAATAAAAATAAGCCACATATAAAACCAGAAAATATAGATATAAAAATAAAAATGTAAAATTTAATTCTAGTGTTTTTTATATATATATAATCTAGCCGAATAAAAAAGTAAAAAAAAAAAAAAAAAAAATAGATTAAAATTTGAGGCTTCGTTTTTCAGGAAATTATATTTCAATATTTTTTAAATGAAATTTTCAAATTTAATTTTTTATAGTGAAATTTATTAAAGTAAAATTGACTTATTTCCGATTATAAATAAATTATGAAAGAAAATCATTCTATATATGCAAAAAATATGCAAAAAAATATAAAAGAAAATTTTATTGTTTAAGTTCTAAATTTTACTAAAAAAATTGTTAAACATATGTAGATCCAGAAATTACATAATCAATAAATTTTAAAATTCATTTTTCTCAAAAATTAATTATATTCTTAGAATAATATTAATAGTAATATTATTCCGTAGTAATATATATATGTTATTCAATCGGACCCTGTATATTTAAAATTATAATAACTTGTATTATATATAAATACAAAATAAAAATATATTTATTTATTATAGAAATATATTTATTTGCATTATTATCATATTATAAAATATTTATTTATTGTTTAAATTAAAATGTATAATATAATATAGATATCAACATATTATTATAACACAAAAAAATATAAGAAATACATTAAAAAAATAAATAAATATAATATATATAAATATAATATGTATATATGTAAACAAAATGTAATAATAAATATATATTTTTATTTCGAAGAAGAAATGCTATAATAAATATGCTATAATAAATAAATAATATTTTACTATATTTTATTACTATATAATATTTTACTAAATTATAAATTAACTAGAAATATAATGAAATTTTACAAAGAAAAATCATAATTTTTTGTTACCTGAAATATTATATTACCAAGAAGAAATATCAGTAACAATAATCTCTGAATCCATACATATATTGAATTATTATACGGCCACAATCCTACAATTTTCATCATTGTACGATACGTACAATAGTATTTATCGAATACGTCCATTTTTCTAGTCAGATATCGACTGCTGTATAGAATTTGAAGAATCATTTAACTATACCTCGGTTTAATAAATTATTTATGCAATTGATTTTCTTTTTTGTATTTTCATAGTCTCTTTTTTATAGTAATAACAATATATAGTGTACAGTGTACAGTAGTGTACAGTATACAATAATTGCTTTAAATTACAATCGATCGATTTCATTCATACCCTTTGCAAAAAGATTTTTCATAATAAGCATCAAGTTCGAAGAAAATTATAGTTCTCCAGTTTTTTGTGTTATTAATCTTTATTAACGTCTTTTATTTTCTTTTCTTTTGTTATTCTGTATTGTTGTATTATTCTGTTTTATTTCCCCTCCTTTTTTTCTAGATATTAAGAGAATGAAAATTTATTACAATGAATATTATTTTCCAGTTACCTGAAGATATAACACGACAACTTGATAACTTCAAAATAATTCTCTTATTATAGAAATATTTCATATTGTTATTTTGTTCGACAAAAGTGATAATGAGAATTGGAATTACAAAAAAAAAAATGCGTTTGGATTAAAATAATGGTATTTATAAAAAATTTTTATGATATAATGTAATATAATATTATATTAATTTTTGTACTATAGAAAATAATTTTTATATGTTGTTTTTATATTTGTTTTTATATTTTTATATGTTTTATATATTGAATGTCGTATTCATATTATAAAAATAATTTTTATTTTAAATTATTGTTCATAGAACGCAATTATTATATATAACTAGCAATTTTGCTATTTTCTATTTGATGTTTCACAAAATTGCAATTATATTTTATATAGAATAATACAATTTGAAATGTTTACAAAATACTTTAATGAAATCTAATATAATTTTATCAGAAATATATGTTAACAAAAACATATGTAAAATTATAATATTAGAGTTGAGAATGAGTAACATAAAATCATTTCAAAATATAAATAATATAATTTCATTATTATCAAGATAAATTTATAAACAAATATGTTTATACAACATAATTTTCGAAGAAATGATTATAAAACTTTTAAAACTGCTTAAATAAATATTTCGTAATATTAGAAATGAGATTGAAATGATTTAATTAAAATAAAGAATATGCAGTAAGAAAGAATATATTTAATAAAGGAAATAACTACTAGGAATAAACTATTGCATAGATAGATGTCAAATATCATTATAAATCTGATATTTTTTTTCTTGATTTTAATAAAGGTTTATTTTTTAGTAAAGATTTGTAAATTTCTTTCATAGTTCAATTGAGAAGATCGCATTATGTTATTCCTATGTTAGTCCTAACGGAATGATAATAATCAATAATATCGTAATTAGTCCCCTTCAATAACCAAGTTAGAGGAAAATTCCTCAAATTAAACTGTCAGTATCGCACAACATTTATTAGCATATATCATACAATCGTTATTATAAATTTTCCCGAATATAGGGTGATGCTGTTGAATATGTCATAATTCTTGAACCTTGAGATCATGTTATGCTTCAATCATACAGATTTCTTTCAATATTTCAACGACAGAAGTTTTTAGTTTTTAGCTTTAAGTGAAAAAATGATTCGGGAATATTGCGTTTCTTGTGAAATGAATACTTTAAATAAGATTAAAATATTTTATTTCAATATTATTAACTCTTTGAGAATGAATGAAAATAATCAATTGATAAAAATTTTTTTCCTAGTATGGAAATTAAAACATTATTAAGCAATACAGATTATATATCAATATAATACATTGATATCAATATTAATTTTTATAATCTATATTTGATTTTTTTTCATAAAAAATGAAAGTTTTGCAGCCTTATTAAATCTTAGAATTTCTTAACTGAAAATATAAATAAATAATTTAAATTATGAAATCTTCAGAAACCAAATTAATTTTTATAAAAGATTAATTCTATTAAAAAAATTTTCAATCTTAATACGCAAAAAAAATCAAATACACGATTAATGATCAATTTAAAAACAATAATTTCATAAATTCGCAAAAAAATAAATCATAGCAAATATTAAAATAAATATTAAATATAAAAATAATAATGAAATAATATTGTCCTATATATTACCATATATTTTATATATTCTTTTAATAATATTATTATATATTCTTTTTTTCATAATTTTGAAATTGATTAATATTAGTTTTGAGAGATTTGTATATAGAAGATATTTAATTATAATATTAATTCATGAAATACTTTCAGAAGATCGATTCTAAACATTAAAATAAACATAAAAATTGCAATACAAAAATATAAATTGAGAATTAATAATAATAAGTTAAGTAATAGTAAGTTAATTTAAATTTGAATCAGATGAAATAAGGAATGAAATAAATGAAACAAACATTATTTCATTTTTTCTTTTTCATTATTTAATAGTAAATTAAATTGCTTATAATTCAATTCAATTTAATTAATAAGCTTCAACCAATATTTTATTTAATTTATAACTTTTTCTTTCTTTAATATTTACATAATATATCAATATCTTATTATAATAAACATATAAATCAATTTTACAATTTTGATAATAATTACTGCCACAGTAATAGTAAAATATTATTTATAATTTAACAATAATAAATCATGAAGAAAACTCAATATAATTATGAATTTTATTAATATCATCAAGTTTATTAGATATTGACATATGGGCATGATAACATTTATAATGATAACATTTATAATCTCTTTTGAATATTAATTATATTATATATATTAATTATAATAATACGAAAATGATCAATAAGAAATAATATAAAAATATCAATAATTTAAAAAAATATTAATGAAAAGAACAAAAAAAGTAAGGAATAAATATCAAAACGAAATATAGAACAATTGTTTATTTTTATGCCAACATATTTAATATGAAACCATTGATTCTATTGTATTGAATATATAAAAGTAAAATATGAAAACGATGCTTAACATCTGAAATGCAGCAATTTTTATTAATTTGAATTAAAATGATATATAGTTTTATAGTTATTTAAACACACTATGTGTCTTTTTCAATAATTATTGTGTAAAACAGAAATTTATTCTTAACTATCGAGTTAATTATATATTGATTTATTTTGCGAAATATTAATTTAAGATGAAATCAATAAATTCATTATTGTATGAAGAAAAAAAAAGAGGAATAATATCAGCGAAATTCAAAAAGCTTTATTTTTTATGTTATAATATATGTTATAATATAACGTTGTTCATACTTGTTTTTGCATATAGAGATTTCAGAATTACATTATTGATCGATTCAATAAAAATATTTAAGAGACTATATCAGAAATGAAATGGATTTATTTTCTGTTAAAATTAAAGAATAAATGGAGAATAATAATTATAATTATATCGAAATGATCGATAACAGATAATATAAATTAATTAGCAATTCGAAAAAGTATTTATAATATTTGATCGAGTAAATGGAAAATAGTAATTATAATTATATCGAAATGATCGATAACAGATAATATAAATTAATTAGCAATTCGAAAAAGTATTTATAGAATATTTGATCGAGTAAATATTGATAGGACAAATATCAAATAACGAAGAGTGATAATAATTGTTTGATTTAATACTAATACGCCTATGAAAGTATCGATTCTATTGTATCGAGTGCATCAAAGTAAAATATGAAAACGATGTACTTAACATCTGAAATCCAGTAATTTTTATTAATTTGAATTAATACGATTGTATACTTATTTAAATTATAAAAATTACCTTCGAAAATCCTATATAGCATGGAGTAAATACACCCAAGATATTAATCATACATGTTGTTGAGCTTCGTATCATGATCAACAGTAAAATCTTTTGTACTTTTAATGGTACAAAATACCACATAGAAATATATCTGTCCAATAAATAGTGATATATATATATATATATATATTTTTACCATTAATGCGATTAATTTCACGAATAAAAGATTCAAACTTACAATTCAACAAAAAATTCTTGACTGTTGTCTATAAGTATTTGATTACTACTGTTATTCAAGAACGTAATCACCAATTGAATAGTAAAAAATATAAAAGACAATAAAATTTCTAATTGATCATTCTTAATTAGAATCGCATTTAATAGCTGTGAAAAATTGAAAAATTAAAAATATAAATAAAATTATAAAATAAATTAATATTATATTTATTTATTATAAATTCGAAACATTCTTTTTAGCGTATTTCACAATAAATTTAAGAAAATTCAAAAAAAATTTTAATAAGCAAAATTTACATTCATAATGTCTCGTTTCAAACAATTATTCTAAACTATGTGTTATCCAAAAAAAATGTTTTATATAAAATGTTTCAAGAGATTGTCTTATGATCAGATTTGAATAAATAAAAATATATTTGAAATTTGAAGATAATTTTTTTTTTTTTTTTTAATGAAATTGAACATTTTTATGTAGTCAGGATTGTAATCTACTTCAAATTTAAATTATTTTATTTTAAATTTAATCTATTTACAAATTTATTGAATGAATTATATTGATGTTTGAATGTCATTCAAAATCATTCACAATTGCTAAAATTTTATTTTATATAAAGTTAAAAAATTCTTTTCATTTTCGAATTTTTAAATTTATTCGTTAATATGATGAATACGAATAAATACGATTTATCAATTATTGTAAATATCTTATTAAAGTTACTATTTCACAATATTATATAAGAAAATTTTTTTTTAAGTATTACTATAAATGAAAAAGTTTTTCGAGATATCTATTAAATTAATTGTGATATTTTTAAAAGAATGAAATTATCATTTAGATATAGAATAAATCATTGCATGTGCAAGGTTTTTCTTTTGAATTTCTTCAGTTAATGAAGAGTTTTTAAATGATCTTGAATGATTCTTAATTTTCAAAGATTATAATTAGACAATTTTGAAATACGATTTTACAAAATAAAAAAATATTTTTTTTTATTAAAAAAATAAGTTTAGTC